ATGATACAAAATGGGATTTCCCCCCCCCCCCTTAAATATACATATCCACCACGTTGGTAGTTGTAGAAAGTGTATGGATGTAATCTTAAGAAGGGCTACTAGAGATGTAATGGAAGAAACGGACACAGAAACAGTTGGCCAGTTTATGTTGAGCTTTAGCAGACATGTATCTCCCTTTTTTATTTTGCTCTTATATTATCCCCCTTTTCTCCGCCTCATTTCAGCATGGTGAGCGTGATAGGAGTGGATGTTGCCACAGAGGTCCAAAGGCCAAAGCATTTCAATTCAGAGGAGGAGAATCCTGTCCAAGATCAGAGTGATCACAGCCCTCTTCTTACCTGAGACGCCAGGACTACCAAACACTAACAGCACCTTGCTTGTTAAGATTTGTAATTTTTTTTGTGTGTGTGATTTATTTTATTTTATGTGGTGTATAGGTTACATTTTCTTCCTTTGTTGCTGTGCTTATTGGAGTTATGGGTAAACAGATTTCTCTACCTCTCAGGTTTAACAACTCTAGTTAAAATTGGTAGAAATCTCGAAGGTCTGAAGGTAGAAGTCTGACCATGAAGATGACATTTTCAAAAACATTTTGAATGGATACATTTTAAATGTTGTTAAATTTTAAATGTATTTCTTTCTTCTTCTTTTTTTTATGTAGCAAATAAAATTTGACCTTGACATCACATTTTTGCTCAGGGAAAAGGTAAAAGACCAAGCCACAAATGGTAAAGGGGACTAAGAGTTATGGTAACCATTTCAAAGTATGAGGACTAAAGTTCTTTCTGGAAACAACCCACCACTCTGTATTATGACCAAATCAAAGACCTTGTGGACTGAATTGGTCACTTATTAGGTCTCTGCTTGCCTCGGGGTACGACCAGGTTGAAAAGCTCAGTTTTCCATACTATCAATTAAAATCCAATTATCTGGAGAATATCAACAAACTAAATGAAGGAAAGTGTTGTGGGATTTTCTTTCACACTCTGGTTTTTGAGAAAAACAGAAGAATAACAGAAGAAGAAAGCACCAGCACAATTATATCCCACTACATACCTGAAGTTTGTAAGATTCAACCTCTGTTCAGGTTTTGTTGTATCTAAGTTACTACATTTTGGGTGTAATAGTCTTAATTATTGTGTCAACACAATATTCACAACAGTCTAATAAAAATAAAAAATGTTTACCACTGTGGTCCAAGCTTCTGTATTTTAATACAGACCGAAAATTCACAACTAAATATCAGCACCACATCATTTATCTTTTTAAAACTGTATCAAACAAGGTGATGTTTAATAAATATGTAGGATGGTGGAGATGAAATGCTAAGAACATTTTTAAATGTAATACTGTTTTCTATACCCAGGGACCTTCTTAACAAACATAAAAAAAAAATGTTTCTAATTTTCTAAATCCCAGCACAATGTGATTCTGTAGAAAAAATCATTTCATTCATTCAACATTCCTGTTACTTTGTTTGGGGGGGAAGGTTACTTTTACACATCCTTTATTTATCCAGGTAAAAAGTGTCATTGACATTAAAAATGTATTTTTCAACAGAGATCTGTAATATATAACATCACAGTTTTTAAAATATATTGTATATATTGGCCAAAAAGGACCGGACTAATTATTATGTAGGTAAAATAACACAGAGTACTTGTAAAAGTGGCCATTTCTGTATTTTATAGCTCCTCCATAATTCGTATTGGCTACAGTCTATTTACCAATATAAATCAAGATATTAGACACTTAAAAACCATAGAAACATTGCTAATTGCTTTGGCAGTCCATCAGTTTTTCCTGCTTACTGAATGTCTGTAAATTATATGATAGCCAATACATACACCACTATTGCAAGTGTACTGTTTTCTAACATAGTCCCATTTAGGTCACCTGATGTTAGTTCTTTTCTATGTGAAATTAGTACATGAAAAAAAACTTGTCAGAGAGCTTCAGACAGCCAGCCGGCCTCACAGGTGAACTGAGTTGGGACTTTAATTTCCAGAAACTCTGGCTGGCCAATCAACCTGCCTGGTTCACTTTTATTTTTACTGTCAGGCAGGAGGGCCACTGGCAGTGTTCATTTTCCCAACGTCCTAAAAAAGGTAAGGCCGCACTTGATAGAATTCTGGTCGTGTTTTATTCAATCGGTGTGGTACTTCACCATAGATTTATCACATATTAAACCTAATGATACCAAATGCCACGGATTTACCACCATTCTCTGTGCTTCTGTGCCATATTTACTAGAAATTAGACAGGGTGAGTTTCCGCGTGCTTTAGTTACTCCATGTTTAATTCCTATCGTTGACCTCAGGGTAAGGTAAGTAACCTGAATTTTGCAGCACTTGGCTTGACGGTCTTTAGATAAAGTAAGCCAGACAAATCACTCCGCTCACAGCTAAATATCTGCAAGTACACTGACGTCAGCTGCTATGTCCCCATGACAACAGCGTGCGAATTAGTGTCTTAGTTTTTTAGTCCTACTGGAAAATATATCCAAGGCTAGTACTCCCGACCTTTTATTGATGGTGTTAACAATATTAGTTTGACCTTTTATTTTTTTTTTTTTTCTTCAGTCCGAGCAAACGGAACAACTTCTATTGACTTTATTGATCCTTGACCTCGTCCAAAAAGCCTGTTTAGCGTACAAGTCTGAGTATGTTCATACCGAGATGAGGGGAAATGAGCCTTGTACTCCAGAGGGGGGCATCTTAAACTGAGTCACTTATCGGGGCAGCAGACTATACACCTAATGCGCTCCCAGGCTGGTGCCTACCTGCTTACTATTGCCGCTCCTGAGAGTTCTCTGTTCATGAAATTTAGTCAATGTGTCACATACTTGACGAACTGATATGAAGCAGCTGCCTCAAATGCTGTTTCATTTCCTCATTCATGCGTTTTCTTTCAAAGTGCCCTCTGTATGTCCTCCTTCTCTACCTCTGTTTTCATATTTACTGTTAAACCGGTCTCCTCCTCATTCGTTCACGCACATTCTGACTTGGTTTGAGAGACATTAATTCCTCTTCTCTCCAGAGCATAGCTCCACCTCTGCAGGCTCTCATCTAGCTGCTCCCCCACTCTCACTATAAATGTCCAAACATGTAAAGACTGAACCTCAACTGCAAAGGACCCAAAGCAAATTTATGTCCATAATTAAACTACATCATCTGCACTTACTGTGTGAGTTTTATCCCTTCAGGTTATAGTGGAATGATTAGATTTAAAAATCAAGTGGATCCCACTAATTAAAATCACTCTCTCCTCCCCTCCTGGTCTTTTTGAGATAAATATCATGATCCACACTGGTATGTATTATTTTTCTGTAGACTGGATTGCAGTAGAAGCTCTGCCCTTTATTTTCTTGTTGCCATGGTGAATCCTCGTATTGGAGCTCCACCGATGACTACTTTGTTTCATTACTCATGCACTCTGAGCACAAACTAAACATACTCGGGGCAGACTGAAGAAACTCAGATTTTCTGGAAAATGAGTTTCTCATGTTGGATTGAAGTTTGATTCAGGTTGTTAAACCTGCGTTCTGGATCTACTTTATTTACTTATTTTGTGCTTCCCTCTGCTTGATTGAACACCTGTGAAATCAACGAATGAAGCGATTTAGAGCTTCCTTCCTCTTTCACAAACTATTAGTGTCATTTTTGGGATGATCACTAGCCCAGATGTCATGTTGGAAAACTGGCTTTCTTAATGTGAAAATGCAAACTCCTACTGGGAGGGGAAAAACTCGTATAAATCTGTCTTGTTTTACAGAAGGAAAAAATTGTCTGTCTTTTCCTCAGTAATATCTTTCATTGCTTTTAATATTGCAGATAATACATAGTACAAATTGTTAATGTTTGCCCTTGTTTAGTTTTATATCCCGCTTGTATTTCATGAAGGACTAGTTTGAGGTTGTGTTATAGATACGATTGAATTTTTGCACATTCCAGTCCTCTTAGTCTCTAAAGTCTGGTTGTTTAACATCAAACCAGTCAGTTCTGGGGATTAGCTGGTGGCAACTGCACACTGGGGTACTCCTCCAAGAACACCATGTTAAGGCTGCTTTCTGTTTGCATTCACGCTGCTTATAGGAAGCCAGCATTAGGTAAGTTCACAACCTTTTGTTGTGAACTTTTACTTTCTTGTGGTTCTGTTTCAGCTTCTTCAGTTTCCCTGATATGGCACTGGTGCATGATGTGTGTGGTGTATGCCTTGTCACAAGTTGAGGGGAAAAGCTGAGTCAAAACGGCATTCTATGATTAGGGGGGAAATGTATTTAACCGTTTTATTTCTGTGTTTTGTACTGAAAAAAGTCAAGAACTGTTTTTACACTCAGATTGTGCCTATATTTACACACACACACACACACACATAGATAAGCACAACATATGACTGCTAAGTACCTTTTTACAGAGCAATAATTTAAAGATTTCGATATTTAATCAGTATTTTATACCATGTTGGTATATTACTCCAGGCTCTCTGGTTAGATGATATACCAGTGAGTCTGTGACAGTCTTTTTGATATAATCTCCAAATATCACACAAACCTGAATGCTGGCTATATACACTAAAGTACCACAGTTGGAGTAGAATACCACAGAATGTTTGATACAGTATACAATTGATTAGTAATGTAATGCAGTTTTCTTGAATAAATAAAATACAAACCCAATCAAACAAATATTGCCCATGCAGACAGTTTCTTATACATTGAATCAGAACTGTAGTTTTTAGTGGAGTAGAGTAACTGTTGTGGGGTTTGTGGTTTTTTTTTTTTTTTGTTAAATCCTATGTCTTGTACAGTTGCAACACTATAAAATCACTGGCGAACTGGTTTCACCTGTTTTAGATTGCTTTCTTTTCTTAAACTATAGTACAAGAATGGCCATGCCTTCTTCAGGCATGTGGAGTGATCAAGTTTTAGTTGTCACTTGAGTTCAAATCTAATCATTGTCCTTGTTTCTTGTTCAGGACATTTTCCAGCCCTCCTCAGAATGAAGCATCTCTTGCTTCTGGAGCCTGTGATGGCCCTGTGCGCTTTTTCCTATTTTCTCAATGTTCCACTTATGCAGCAATATGTTTACCGGAGACTCTGGGTGCAGATGACAAACACCACCTATCTCATCTCTGACACATCCAGATGTACAACAAGCAACAGCTCAAGCAGTTATGAGGTTTGTCATTAATCTCTGGCTCCAAGGTAGGATTCATGGGTACCAAAAATGGAAGGACCTACTATAAAATAAAGGCATGCACAGTTACAGCTATCAGTTAAGTGGCGTAATACATAAATCAGCATTAGCTGCATTTGCATTATACTTTTCTTAAAACTGTTGCACTGAATACTGTCATTAATACTGTAGCAGGAAAATTCATATTTGATGCTTATTTCAGTTAAGATCTAGCATTACTTAGAAATTTACAAGTGCATGTGAAAGTTTCTTCAACTGTGATTGAAGTTGTTTTTGGCTTTAATTTAATGTTTTTTTGCATGAACTATTTAGGAATTACAACCATTTCTATAGTCCTCCATTTTCAGAGACTTTGAAATAACTGAACAATAAAAATTTTAAATATAAGGATTATTCCTAATACTTCACTGAGAATAATATGATGAATGACAGAACTGTAGAGCACAGAGCTCTATACAAATACAGTTTCTTCTCACTTTCGGATGCTCTTCTTACTGCAGCCACTTACTGCCCCTTACTGCAGCCACCTTCAATTGTTGCTTGTTTTTGGGTGTCTGACCTCAGGGATCAGGTGACTGAAGAATATCTCAGGACAGTATTTCTTGGTATTAAGAAACTCTTGGGTTGTTTTTTCAGTATGCTTTGGGTCATTATCCATCTGCATGGCTTTGAAACACTTGGAATCAACTGCAGGGAACATCCCTTTGAATACTGGCTGTGAAGCTGCTTTTCAGTCAGTTGTGTTATTACTTTTGACCCTCTGTTAATGGGACGGTATATAAAAATGGCTGTAATTTCAAAACAGTTGAATGTAGTATTGTTATTAAATTGATTAAGTTCTAAGATGATTTGAATCTTAAAAGTTGGACTTTACTTACCAATCTTTGTGTTTTTATTTTTAAAATCCACTCTGGGGTTATACAGAGACAAAACTTCAAAAATGTCTGTGTCCAAAAACACAGTTACCAAGCTGTATTTTGGTGAGTTTGCTTTTACAGTTAAAATTAAGTCTGTTTTGTGTGTGTCTGTCTCTCTCTCTCTGCATTTCTAGGGTGTACAGAAGCAGGCATCTCTCTTCTCCCTTTACACAGATGTCCTCTGCACAATCCCATCTTTGGTGGTCATTCTCTTGCTGGTGACCTACAGCGACCGAGCAGGGCGCAAAATCACAATCATCATGCCTGTGATTGGCATGTTGATCAATACCTTGGTCTACCTGACTGTATCCTATTTTGAGCTCAACATTTACCTTCTCATTGGCTCCTCAATCCTCAGCGCTTTGTGTGGCGGCTTGGGCACATTTCTGGGTGGCTGTTTTGCCTACATAGCAGACCTGTGTGACACCCGTCGCCAGAAGACTCTGCACATGGCTGGAGTAGACATGATGATTGGCGTGTTGGCTGGCGGGGCTTCAATATCAACAGGCTACTTCCTGAAAACTGCAGGATTTAACTGGCCTTTCCTAATATCTGCATTGACACTGTGTTTGAGCCTAATCTATGCAGTATTTGTCCTTGAGGAGACAATGAAGCCTCCAACCGATGTCATTATTGTGGATTTGTCACCTCAGCGCTCAGCCATAAAACAGATGGTCTGTGGGGTCTACCAGATGCTTGCAGGGGCTAGTCATAGTTGTAAAATTGCTTTGGCCCTCCTCATTGTCATCTTTATCAGCTTTTCCTTTGCATATATTGGTGGGGTCTCTATGATAATGCTGTATGAGCTCAATAAGCCCCTGTGCTGGACTGAGATTTTGATTGGCTATGGCTCAGCGCTGTTCACCTCTGTTTTCCTGACTAGCTTTGTGGGAGTGTCCATACTTACATGCTGTGGTGTGCCCCAGCTGCTCATTGTCCTGTTGGGGATCCTGTCTCTGGCGACAAGCATGGTGATGACAGCGTTTGCTAAGACCACTTCACTTATGTTTATAGGTGAGGGGGAGCGGCTTTACATTTTAGCACTCTTAACTAGGCAATCAGAATACTGGAACTCTGCAAATTGCTTAAGTAATTTATATCCATAAAACCCTGCCATATTGAGCAAGATGTGTTTGTGCTGCTCTGCCATGATGAGTAAAAGTAAGCTGATCATGCTGGACTCAGAGGCTGGTTTGAAGACTCTGCCATCTTAGTTTTTTAGTAAACCTGTTCAAAATCTATTAGCTCTCAAGTCAATACACATTTTGTCAGAGCTACAAAAAGAGGAACACTGCATTAATGTCAACACCAGTAGAATATTGTTCTATTTGCACAATGAGTGAGGTCAATGCGATTACAACTGCAGACACATAGCTGCACAGGTCTGAATTGTCTTTGCCTACAGTGTAGATTTATAGACTCAATCAAACACTATAAATAATCTGCATTACTAACTTGAAGCAACCAATGGGTTTTTGTCCAATTTAATCCTCAGTTACCACTGTTTTGCATAATCCTCTTGAATCTAATGCCGTCTAAGAGATGTGCATCTTTATCAATGAACAGGAAATTAACATTAAACAAATTTAAAATGTTAATTGTCCCAGATTTCAATGTAGTTATATTACAATGCTGAAGTATTTTGCACAATATAAAAGTAATTGTCTGTTATGCATTTTCTCCTCCAGCAATTGCATCAATGCTTCTGTCTAAAATGCCTTTCCCTGTTCTGCGCTCCATGATGTCAGAGATCATCTCAAAGTCTGAGCAGGGTGAGTGAGTTTAGTGCTTTACAAGAACCACAAAACCATGTCTGAGAGTGTTTGTGGAGTCAGTCCATTGAAGGATGGCACATTCCAGAAGCTTGTGGGTGCACTTAAAAACAAAGCACTTTAAGTTTCTGTTGGATTTGACAGAATTAAACTCTTAATCTTTAGGGTTTGTGTAACCCTTTCACCTTCTGAGCATGGTGGTGGTGGCGTTGTTACTGTTATGATTGTGATTTATTTTACAGGAGCCCTGTTTGGCTTTATGTACTTTCTGGAGATTTTAAGCAACAATGTATCGACTGGAGTCTTTAACAGTATTTATGCTGCTACGGTGTCATGGTGCCCTGGCTTTGTGTTCCTGTTGTCTGCAGGACTCTGTGTGATCCCTTTGTCTGTTATTGGGTAAGCTAATAATTATGCCTTAAGTGTAACAAAGTTTCAAAGGATCATACCACTGCCTTTGCAAGTTTGACTAAAAACCAGAGATGATGTACATGAGTTGTGACAAAATGATTTATTATTATAAGACAATAACAGTAACGGAGTGAACTAATTAAATAATACAATATATTTCAAAGTTCAAAATATAAGAAATGGCTCAATTTTAAATATCAAGAATATTACAGAGGTGAAATGTATATGATTGACATATAAAAACAGGCTGTAATCACCGTAAACTTTAAACAGTATGTCTGTGTCGCTGTATGTTTTAGCATTTTACAAACATGTAGCATCCTCAAAACTCTGTGGTACTTTCAAGGCTGCTTTCATGTGACATTATTATTTGTCAATAGAAGTATGTCATTGAGGTAAAGTACCTGAAGGTGTTTGCTGAATTTTAATCGGGGCATATTTATTCAGTAAACCAAAAAAGGGGCAGTTTCCTTGTTAAGAGCGACTTGGCAGAAATGTTTTAAGCTGTCTAACTTGACTAGAAAAGTATTTCTGCTTGACTGGGCACTTGGAAATTAGAGGACTCGGTTCCTCTTACTAATCCAACTTTTTCTCACCGGTCGAGTTCCTCTTTTGCATGTTAATATATATCTCGAGCTTTGTTGAACCAATTGCTTTGTTATTTAATATAACTTAAAAAAAACCAAATGAAAAACACGCTTTTATTGCATCTTTTAAGAAAAAGACGAACTGCTTTATATAAAAGGCATCAACCAGAGCAACTGCCACAAAAAAATCTGCCAAATCAAACATATGGAACTGTCTGCTGTAGTTCCCTGTGAACTCTGTACAGCACTGTGTATATACCGATGATAGATTTGATACATGTTCTTTTTCGTATGTATGTCTTACTGTAACATTGGAAAAATGTACTTTGGTAGTTTCTTGGAGCTATGTTGGGCATGTGCCTGTCAGAAGGCTAATGGACATATGTATTAAGAAAGCATGATGATATGGAAAAATGGATGCACAGTTGGATGGAACTGCTAATATAGTACCATATCCTTTTTCTGCTTAACACCTGTTTGTCCTCATTTCAGGGTGGTGGTTCTGATGACGGTAGATGTTACCCAAGAAGCCCAAATGACAAATCCTTTGATCTTAGAGGAGGAGAACCCTCTTGAAGGTCCTAGTCAGAAGAGTTCTCCTTAACTGAGACTCTTGGTCTAAGATTTTTCTTGGATCCGTTGTTGTTTTCTGGCTTCATGTGTTGCTAATGTAGATTGCCGTTGAGTTAACTTAAGTTACAATGAACTTGTGTTAATATTTAATATTAATGTGCACCATAAAATATATTTGAACTAGGTGAAGACCAAGACAAACTCACAAAAATGCATAAAATTCTTCAGATTTAATGTTAGTACTGTATTTTGATACATGTTAAATAAAAATCGTGACTATCAAGTTTGTGTCTATCTAGAACTCCTCAATCATTTATGTAATCCACCAGATGCGCATTGTTTGTTTATCAAAGCTGTCAGCAGAATTTACAGTATACATGAAAACACCTGGAAACAAGTGGAGCAAGTTCTGCTCATAAGCCAGAAAGGATTTTTGAGGAAATCTTTATTTTCTCTTAAATAAAATATTTTTAAAAAGTTCATGGTTCTTAGTGTTAATATTGTATGAATAACTATAAGGAAGGAAAGTCATTAATAGCATTTTAACAAACTTGAATAAAAGAGTAACATGTTCTTGGCCTTCCTAAAATCTCTAGTATATTCAACAGCCTCCCATTGAAACTAATCTGATCTAATTTACCTGCATGTGCAATATTTGGAGAAAAGCTGAATAATCTTTGTGGTAATGATTTTCGGTGTAAATTTAAAGCGCAATCCTTGCTCTTATCAGGGGTATCCAGAGCCCAGAAAGCAGCAGAGGTCCAGTAAACATCACTATCAAACCAGCCCTTTCTCATCACACAGAAGTTACTGCAACACCTCACTCATTTGGAAAAATATTCTGGGCCACAACAGAAGAATGGTGATGTGGTGTCATGTCTTTTGTATATCGACCACTAGATGCCACTCTTGGTCCAGGCTTGAAACTTGGAGTATTAATCTCAGTACTACTGTGTGGTTCCTCTGTTTTCTTTTTTTCTTTTTCCATGCATTGTCTTCAAAAATAAAGAAAAACAACTCTTTTGAACTTCTCATACGTTTAAACTGTTCATTTACGGTATATATGCTGAATGTATTACTATGGACTTCATTACCTTGTTAGTCCAGCCAAGGTTTAATTGAATGATCTGATAACCTGTTAAGAGCCACATCATGTCTTGGGATACATTTAATGCAACCAATGCTCCCAAAGTGATGTGGAGAATATTCTAATAAGTGTGACGATAATAACAAACATTACTTGGTTTTCCTGCGGTATTTCTATCCCTCTTTGCCTTCTGTACAGAAAGACTTTACTCAGTGGACATGTATATGAAACAGTTTGTCTTACACTTGAATCTCAATTCAATTATCAGAGTTTTCCATGTAAATCTAATTAACCTAATCATGATGCTTCACATAGATGGTTTAGGTAAAGTTTAAACTGGACCTTTGTGCTGTTGGGGTGTTTTGATTGCAGCTGTGTTGAGAGATGGGACTTACACATGAGCAGGAAATGTTACAACCGAGGTTCATGTTCAGTGTGGTGGCCAGGCTATTTCTGCCTTTAATATAGAGGACCACCTTGCACTTAAGAGAAACACAATCTTGTTGCTTTTTGAAATTGCAGACGTAAAACATGACAGTGGAAGTGTCCTCAATATACTTTTTCCTTCTTTTTTTCAATATCTTCGCTATTGGTCTACAAGGCACGTCAGTTTAAATTGGCTTGATCCGTGGAAACCCAAATGACGTCTGACCTTAATGCGCAGTTATTTGATTTCCATCCTCAAGACTTGAGGTCCGTGACTGCAGCTTGATTGTACGGTAATGTTGACACTGCGTATGAATTAGGTCGGTGCCGGAGGTTACAAAGGGAATCTTCTGAGGCAGGGCTTTCTTGGCACCAAACATGAGGTTTCTGGTTAAATTAGAGACGGAGGTGTGGTGAAGAGTAACACTGGTTTGCGCAGAATTCCCAGGGGTAAGCGGCTCAAGGGGAGACAGTCGTGGTAGTGGCTCGAGCCTGTCTGGCATGCATGGGGTCGCTGACGATTAAAGGGAAGTTTGACAGAGTCTGGTTGAGATTGGAGGCAGGGAATCGGGGTCTTTGGTTTCTGGTTTCTAAAGTAGCTTAGTCAGCAGTTACGCTCATGTGCAGCGCACCACATCACATCAGATCAAGAGCCTAATCTCAGATGTTGATCCAGAAAGTTGCAAGCAGACCTCTCTTTATCTCAACCTTCTGCTCGCCCGGAGGAGATAATTGACAATAATATGAAAACCCATTTGAGGTGGTTTGCGTGATTTAAACGAAGAGGTGGCGGGACAGCCTGGCTTCTCAGTCGAGATCAATTTGATGATCTGAGAATGATTTTTTCACACCATGATCCACTGCACATGCTCAGTATAGCACTGGAAATTACACCAAAAAGGCAGTGTAAAGAAGAATAACTACACATTGAATCCCTGAGAGATCCTAAAATAAGAAAAGTACAATTTCTATAATAAGAGAAGGCTATCAGGACAACTTTTTAGACTTAAATTGTAAGAAATAAATGTGTAAAATTAAAAATTCTGTAATAGACAAAAACAGAAATTTTCTTGTATGTTGGGTAAACACTGTGATGTCGTATAAATGGACATGGTGGAGATCTTTATCATTAGGAAAAGCTATAAAACTTATGAAGGCAATTCATTTTTTCCAAAGCTGTCCAGTGGGACAGATTGGTGTCTTTGCCAGGCCGATTCTGGAACCTGGGGCTTTATGTTAGACACCCCTGCCCAATGAGCAAGCACTTGGCGACAGTGGGATGGAAAAACTCCCTTCTAACAAAAAGAAACTCCTGGCAGTACTGGGCTCAGGGAGGAGCAGACATCTGCTCCGACCGCCTGGGGGTGAGGGGAGGGAGACAAAGCATGTTGATAGCTCAATATTTGCAGTCTCTGTTTATTCCTTTGATGAAGGTGACAGCAGAAGTTATACCAGCACATCTTTTTCACTATTGTTATCTAAACCCTCAGCTGGTAGGACATTTATCCTTTGTTTTCTTCCAACCCCTTTTCTCTCTACAAAGGTCACTCAACTGTGTTGGTTTCCTCCTGCTGGCAGCCCTGCCACGAGCTGTGGATGAGTGGTGGTGATTTTTTTCCCCCTCATTGCTGTGGCCATTCAATGCTCAACACATGTTATCTGTGTGTGTGTGTGTTTAGATGGATGTTTGTTTGAGTTCTGTGCCTCTGCAGTAATTACTCCTTTTTCTGTGAGGCTTCTAGTCCCTTGAAGGTAAACCGATATCCACATCAAGTTCTGGATTTTCGGCTCCCCCAATTTTTAGTATTGCATGATTGTTTGTTCTCTGATTCATCTCGTATTGCTGAGATAATCACATTTGCCCACCTTTTTCTGTCACATCTGGATCCCACGGCTTCATGTGGTTGCCACTGCTTCCACAGATGTCTTCTGTCTTAGCTGCCAATAATGACTATTTCCTGTATTCCCCTCCCTCCCTTCTCGTCATTCTTATTTGCTCTGCACTACTTCACATAAGAGAATTAAGTTGTTGGTTTTTTTTTTAAAGAGGTTTCAAAAATAGATCTTTAACCACTATTACTGACACATGCTTTAACCACAGACCCCTCATCTCCCCTTTGCCTTTCCTAGCTTCTACCTTTGACTCTAGACTTGTTTAAGGTCCAATTTACGGTGGATATCTTGTATGTTTCATATCCCTTTCACACAAAATTCAAATGCAAGCTACTTGTTTCGTATTGAGGTGCCATGAGATAAAAATAGGCTCAATAATTAAATAGGGTCATATTTAATCGTTAAAGATAATGATTAGCATAAATATTTCTGTAAATGTTCATTCTTATGTGTCTTTTTCAAAGTATCACTTTAAAAAACTGCAGTTTAAGGGTTTCCCTTCAGGTTTTAATATTTATTGCTGGAGTAAAATTAAAATAACATCATGGTGTTGATGGATATAAAATGTAAGACGAAGAAAATTCCAATTTTCACAATTAACCCAATAAACTTATTGCAGCCACACTGTTAAAGCTCCAGTTGAGGCCCTGTGCAGGAGGACCAGACTGAAGACCGTTGATTGGCTGTGTCATCCTGCTGAGAGCACAGTGATTACTATCCAGTGTCTTGGAAGCCATGAATGTCATTTGTGCAGAGCAAGGTTCCTGTCTTTAGCCATGTAGTCTTAAAGAATGCAACCCCCCCACATCTCTAGAAGAGTGGCAAAGGAAAGGTCACTGTGACAATCAATACTCTGCCTGGTTCTGCTTCAGTGCATCAGACTAATCAGCCTGCTACCCGAGGTGGGGGAGATCTCAGGACCTGATAAATGGAAAGATGGAGGAAGAAGAAGAAAGCTACCAGTGAAAGACTGGGCACACACTTAATATATTTTGAAGGGATCAGCATTGCAGACCCTCCTGAAATTCCCATAAATTCTTATAATTATCCTAGCCATGAGAAGAAGAAAAAAATCACATTTAGTGAATCCAGACAGACCTTTGTCTGGCCTCAGTTTTCCTTGTGAAGATTTTATTATCTCTTTGGGTTTATTAATGTGCACATGGGTCTTAAGTGTGCTCACACTCACTGCAGTTGGTTAGACTGTGCTCTTAAAGACACAAAGACATTAGCACACAAACTGAGAGGTATCTCTGGTCAAAACAGAAGCTCTTCAGTTTCACTCTAACATTACAGAAACCACAGCCTGTAAACCCTCTGTTTAGCTGTATATACAGTCTCTACAGTCTCTGGTTTAGCCACACGGGCAAAACAGTTAACCGGCATGCTATGTGTGGAGTGATGTGAGAGCACACAGTCACATCTGTATTTATCAGATTTTCTCTCAGCCAGCCTCTGCTCCTGTTCTTTGCAGCAGATTCATTTTTACAGCCTCCATTTGGCCTTATTGGCTTTTTGCTGGTCTATTAACAGAGTGTTTCTCATTTTAAATTTGCATTACAGTTTCCACAGGACTATCAGTGTTATGGCCTCAGTGTGGAAAGTTCAGAATCACTTGATACATA